TTTAATGTTTATTATTTTTTGCTGAAAGTGATACTTTTTTTCAGGATTCTTTGATGAATCGAAAGATCAAAAGAACAGCATTTATTTTAAATAAATCTTTTGTAAAATATAAAAGTCTAAAAACAATATATAAAAATCTCACTTTTTATCAATTTAATACATCCTTGTTGAATAAAAGTAACAATTCCTTGAAAAAAAAAAAACACTTTGTCCCCAAACTTTTGAAGTTTCAGTTAAGTCATTTCAGGACTCACCCAGCCAATACAATGAAGAAGTCTAGCCGATTCCAGGTGTCTCCAAGGTAACACTTTTTCCCAAAGATGCCCAGTGCAACCATCTTGATTACCATCTCCACAGCAAAAAAAGCAAAGATGAAATCATCAAAGTCCTGGGGGAAGAGAGAAATATCCGAAGGGTTAGCAGAATCTTAAAATGCTGCATTGGCCAAGTCAAGAGTTTGCAAAAATGTTCTTCTCTTGATCAGGAGATACAACCTAACTCGCACTAAAGAAATAAACCCTCCAAAAGCATATGCTGATGAATATTAAATTTCCACTTTGATGTCACAGCATAGTGTGAGTGTGTATGTGTGAGAGTGTGTACGTGTGAGTGTGAGTGTGAGTGAGTGTGTGTGTGTGTGTGTGTGTGTGTGTGTGTGCGCGTGCGTGTCTGTGTGTGTGTCCATGTGCTGAGGGGCTATAAGCCTTGACTCATACTTACACAGACATCTCAGTAAGTCGGAGTAAGCACAAACAACCAACTCACCCAAGTCTTTACCCACAAATCCTCTGCTAGTCCTCTATTTATTTTTCATTTCTGGTAACGTAAGCAAAGAAATAAACCTTACTAAATGTGCATATACAAGGACAATGATCTGCAATATGGAGTTTTAATAAATATGAATACAAAACACAGCATTAAGTGGTAAAAAGAGTCGGGGCCATTCACACAAAAAAAGCATTTTTACTTTGGAAAAAAAAAATGAGATGTGGAATGAAGGAAAAAATGCAAGTTTTGCAAGTCGTCCTTTTTAAAAGTTTAACTTCTATTAACCTTAGCGTCCCGTTTTTAGAACGCTGAGATTATCAAAATGACACATGAGGTTAGGTCAGAGGTAGTAAATCTGGCAATAAAGCCCATGCTGCCACTGAGTCATGACTGACAAGCTTCATGGAATGGAAATGGGAGTCCTTGCGTTTCTTGGAAAGCACACATCATGCCAAGTCAATGCTGAGCGCAATTTATGTGTTTGTGAACATGCACATGTATGAATGTGTGTGTGTTTGTGCTATGGTTAACAAACCACAAATCTGTTATCCACTAAGCAGCTTGTCTTTTCTGACCTTTCACGGCTTTCTCGAAAAGTTGTAGATCTGTATTAGTGATACACGTTTTCTTTACTATATTTTCCAGGGCACACATTTACACAGCTAACTGTCTGTATTTAATACCAATCTCTTTGTTTAATGGTGTTTACAAATCCATGTCCATTTAAAAGTGGTTCACTCTAAAGTGCCCTATTTAGAAGACTTGAGACACACACATACACAGAAACTGGCAGTGATCGAGACACTCACAAAGACACTGAAGTATTGTGTGACGTGACTGATTCAGAAGCACAGGATGATAACTGGAAGAAATTGGCGTATCCCAGTCCTGTCGTTACTTACCCGCATGTTGTTCTAAACTGATTTGCTGTTATTTCTACTGAAAATAATTTATTTGACTTCTACTTTAAAGAATGTTCACGTAGATCTTTAATTTCAATAGTGACCATGTCTTTCAAAAAAACTAAACAAAATTGGCAAAATGAACTACTTTCTTCTGAACTTTCTTCTGAAGCCATATGAGAAAGGGGAGAAATTTATGTTGCTATGGTACATACTGGAATTTTTCCTCTTAACTGAATGACAGTGAATATTTATTTAAATGTATACACATATTTATTTATAGTTTTACTTAAACATACATTTATGTAATTTTTCACACATACATAGTCAATATGAACTGTCATTTGTAAGGAATAGAGCTTCATAAAGATTCTTCAAAAGTCCTCTGTATGTGTTTTACTGACATAATTAACAAACAAACAGGTTTGGAATGACATGAGGATGAGTAAAAATAAGTACTACCAGTGAGAGCAGCGGTCAAAGCTGTCCATCTAATGCATATTTCCAACAATGAAAAAGTAGCACAGTGGAATGGAAAAACATGTGTGTGAATGGTCCCTCAGTCTGTCTCAGTAAATCAAGGTTGTGCTAATAACCATAAAGTTACTAAGGCAATTCTGACAGACTGTGGAAATAAAATACTTAGTTACTCTCTAAAACTCCTCTATAAAGATTTGTGAAAATAAACAAGACTATACTACTCAAATTGGCAATTTTCAAAACATATATTACACAAAGCAATTATGAGAAACACAGTGTCAATTTACTGAATATTCGGTTAATTATTGTTCAATAATGATTGTTGATTAGAATTACATGCACGGAAAAAAAATATCTGCTAGACTGGTGACCTATTCAGACCTCCTTTCATTTCATTTCAACAATAGATGGTACATTTCCGGACCTTATGAACTAAATTGTTTTATTAAACATGCATTCTCCTAAGGCAGATGCAAAAGGCACAGTCAGTTCCTAAGTAAAGACCACAGACTGGGTCCTTGAGACATCGGCGGCCATATGAACTCAGAGACAGTCGTTTCCTCAAGGTTGACTGTCACTGAAAGACACCTGGGCATTATCAGCCAGCGAGGACATTAGTCAAAGCTCTTAAGTGAGGAATTCCCTCCAGCCAAAGCACTTGCACTCTGACAATGCAGGGAATGTTAATTAAGCCGCAGTGGAGAGTATTTACTGTCGCGTTGGACATTATTCAGAGCCAAGCGCTAATGTATTACCTCATCCCTGATCGGCTTGTATTGTACAAAGTGGACATTTGGGTTATAGAGCACTACAGTTCTTGCCAATTCAAAGTTAATGGTAACACACAACACTTCCATAAACAATGCTGTCAGGATGAGGACAAGGGGAGAACCTGCGAGCCTTCATTTTGCATTAATGGTTTGGGGAAGAGACTATCTGTTCAGACAGAGATAGATCTCCTAAGACCATGCCCTAATGTTCTCTAATTATCTGCCTTAATGTGAACATATGGTGAACACATAAAAACAAAATAATAATAATTTCGCTATAAATAACACAAAAATCTCACTTTGACAAAAGGTTCTGCCCTGTACATTAATACTGCTCAACATATGGATGGTTTCTGCTCGCCAAGTCACTATTTTTGGCAGCATAATTTTTTTTTATATATTTATGTAATAATTCATATTTTAATCATTTGTATTATAATAATAATTAAATAGCAATACAAACATTGACAGCCAATCAGAATCCATTCGACTTTAAAGAGCATGTAAAGTTGTGTGTGTGTGTGTGTGTGTGTGTGTGTGTTTTGTTCATAGTCCATGTAGAGCTCTTGGCTCACACAGCTGTGTGCCTGTGAGTATAAATCTCTACGGGCCTTTCTATGGTTCAACAGCTCCCTCCAAAGATAAACGACGCAGAGTAGGGGAACCCTAAAAACAAAATAATAATAATTTCGCTATAAATAACACAAAAATCTCACTTTGACAAAAGGTTCTGCCCTGTACATTAATACTGCTCAACATATGGATGGTTTCTGCTCGCCAAGTCACTATTTTTGGCAGCATAATTTTTTTTTATATATTTATGTAATAATTCATATTTTAATCATTTGTATTATAATAATAATTAAATAGCAATACAAACATTGACAGCCAATCAGAATCCATTCGACTTTAAAGAGCATGTAAAGTTTAAAAGTTTAAAAATATATATTTTTTAAAATTATATTTATGTAATAATTTATATTTTAATCATTTGTATTATAATAATAATTCAATATATTGAAAGTACGTTGTTTAAATAATTTGTATATGTTTTTTTTTATTTTTTATGTATGTATACTTTATACTTCCCTGTCTCTCATCTCCTTTGTTTCAGAGAGCCTCTTCCCATATTCCTCCTCCCCTCCTTTTTCTCACCACATCTCATCCACCCATTTCTATTTAATACATGTCATCTTTCTCTTTCATATTTCTGGGGAAGCGTTCAAAAATAGCTCAGAGAAAGAGTCAGTCTCATCCGCGCGTGTGGAAGCGAGGGTGTTTGCGCGCGTGCGGTGATCTTTTGGCACTGAATAAATCTTCTCATGGTGTCCTCTTTGTTGTACAAATAGCTGATTGGTGTATTGTCTGTGCTGTGAGTAGGTTATTCTAGTGCAACTGATGGCTATATGTTTTTTTTTTTTTTTTTTTGTATGTATATAAATGTTTTCTTAACTAATTGAAAGGCTTTTAATTTACAGTAATATATATAAAAAAGTGTGTTTATGAATTTATAAAATAAATTTTAAAATAATTTAATACTTAATTGGTGCATTTATGGACCTTAATTAATTAATTTTAATAGTGTTTTTCATTAAATGTCTTTGGTTACAATAATTACTAGGCTTTAAATTTACAGTAACAGCTTACAGCTTTACTCGATGACACTTTTATATAAGCCAGCTAGATCAAATAATCTTAGTGACGTTATCTTAGTGACCTTAGCATTTTGGCAGCATAAGAAAGACCAACAAATGTAAATGTAAGTATCGTATAAGTGTGAAAGAACAGCAACTGTCAAATTACTCTTTTTATATATATATATATATATATATATATATATAGTAATAAATTAATATTTTTATTTGACAGATGCATTAATTTGATCAAAAGTGTCAGTAAAGACATTTATAATGTTACAAAAGTTGGGGTTAAATAATTCTCTACAGTGCTTTCCTCCCTCTCCCTTTCTCTCTCTCACACACACACACCCTACACACACTATATGAATATCTTCCTCTTTATACTTCCCTGTGTCTCATCTCCTTTGTTTCAGAGAGCCTCTTCCCATATTCCACCTCCCCTCCTTTTTCTCACCACATCTCATCCACCCATTTCTATTTAATACATGTCATCTTTCTCTTTCATATTTCTGGGGAAGCGTTCAAAAATAGCTCAGAGAAAGAGTCAGTCTCATCCGCGCGTGTGGAAGCGAGGGTGTTTGCGCGCGTGCGGTGATCTTTTGGCACTGAATAAATCTTCTCATGGTGTCCTCTTTGTTGTACAAATAGCTGAGTGGTGTATTGTCTGTGCTGTGAGTAGGTTATTCTAGTGCAACTGATGGCCTTTCTGCTGAGAAAACAATTCTTTAAATCCAGAACTTCTTCAGACCATCCGTCCACCCCCACAAATGCAAACACTCACACACAAAGAGAGGAGGAAGCTGCAACACACATTCACTGTGGATAAAC